GTCGGTAATGTCACCTTGAATTTGTGTGACGCCGGCGATCGGTGACATCGGCTGGAGATCGACGGCAACGATTTTGACATCATCCCTGTCTTTTCCATTTTCAAAGAGTCGCTTCGACAGCACCTTAAAGTAGGAAAAGGGGTTCAAGGCTTCGGTTCACTGGCAAAATACGGTTTATGTGCCTATAACTTCGCATACAGGTTGTCTCAAAAATATAGAGGAATTAATATGGAATATTTTGATCGGATATCAAGCTCTTTACGGTCAAGTTGGTAGCGAAACCAACTTCGACTGTTAATTTTCTCAAAAATACGGCCGGAAGGGAACATTAAATTCGTGGAAACTTTTCATACGCTTGGAATAAGACTATATATCACTGTAATAACAGGAAGATAATTTCAAGAACGATGAGTTAAGTCCCAAAAAAACCAAGTTTTTCAAAAGACTTCAATCTTGTTGGAAAAAGAATGCCACGCACCTGGCTCCAACTTCCCGGAGCAGCACATAAATCGACAGCTTTGGTGACACCTACAAAGAATGGCTTGACTTTTCTAGTATGTAGCTTCAGACATTCCTTTCCTTTGATCATCATTAAGTCCCTTTGAAAGCCATATTGGGTACTAGTAAACGACACCATAAATGTTATGCTACTTTCAATTTCGCTACCATCAGAGCCCTTGATTACTTTTTAAAACTTTTATACCAGCATAAATGCAAAGCGTTTCTTGCCATTATTACTCCCACTTTGACAAAAAAGGAATAAACACAGCGCACCGTGGTCCCAGCTTTAACACTGTGTATGAATTTCAAATGAGCTGAGAAAACCAATGGTGCTCTGGTTTCACTGGGAGTCACCGAAGGTCCAATACCGTGCGTCGTTACGGTCGGACGAACGACTATGGTGCGCCCTCACCCATGGAAGTATGCCCACCCTGACATGAGCAGACCAGGTATTCTCAATCTCACTGATCAGGTATAGGCGGAAATATCAACCTGGATCCGATTTGAAAAATGGGAAAACTTGGCAATAAACGGATTACCTAGGTTGAAGAGGACGGGACGGTTGAAGATATGTGGAGGCAATATCGAATTAGATATTTGATTGAAGTTACAACTTACCGTCCAGAATGTGGAATTCATCATTAATCTGCAACAACTTAAAAGCACTTCTCGCTCTCCATCCCTGCTCTTTGGCCATTCGATAATAAATATCTCGCTGGTCTTTCGAAATCTTACCCATGGCCTGCAAAAAAAAACCCTCTGGGTGTGATCTCTGAGATGCAATCACAGTTGATAACCCAAACAACAACTCAAACAAACACAAAGGCAACGACAGGCTGGCTCTTTGCGCAGAAAATCGTGCAGCGCGTCTAATGCAGTGTCTCGTTCGCGTCTACAGAGAAAGTTTTTTACCACACGGTCAGTGATATAGTAACATGGAAAATCGATCGAAAAAAAAGTGCGTGAAAAGTTTGCGACGTCCCCCTACGTTCGTTTTTTGAGCTGATGAAAATGGAGTTTTGTAGTAACGCAATCCTCGTCGTCAAGACGGGTCCCGTACCGACGGGACGGATACTGCGGGGTAGCAGACCGCGAAGCGTTCGCGTAGCGGTCATGCTGACCCCGCCCGTCGGGAGGATCCCTCCCCATTCCGGTTTTCGTTTCGTAACTGACCCCCACCCTCCCCACCCTATGTTAACGAAACATAGAAGTCAACTTCTCCATGTAACTTCTTCAATTAAGATATCAAAAACTTAGGTCAACCCAAGGTCCAATCCCTTGCGAACACGTTACAATCTGTGAGGCAATGTCTGCATCAGGTCCGTCCAGTACAACCTACTAGTTCGGCATTTATTTTGGCAGTGTGCTGTTTTCATCCGCTCACGCGGTTTTCTTTTTGGCGGCAGCGTTTTTTCGCGGTGCATGATAATACTTTCGCGATCGTTGTCCTTCACAAAAGAAAGGTCTGGCGAAAAGTATTCGAGCCTGTAAGACCATCACGGCTCGTCTTGGAACGTTATGGACAGTTTTTAGAACTTATCCCTTCACAAGAAAGAATAAGCGTTCAATCGTCTACATTTCCTCATAAGGGAGAGGCGTCTATCAAGTTTTCAGCAATCTAAGGAAATCACTTACCGAATGTAGCGTACTTACATTTTCTGTCACATACCGCTCCAATGGTTCCCAAAAGGACACGTACTACCCAACGAGCACATGAGCCATGAATTTTCCCTGTGGATACGAGACTCTTGTGTCGTTCAATAAACGGGCGTTTTGGCCCATTGCTCATCAGTCCTGCTCGGCAGATCGATCTCCTCTGATTCCATAGAAAAGTTCATCAAGAGTTTGTGAGGTTTCGGTATTCGATGTATTACCCCATAAAGTTCCCGCATTCTCAAAGATATGTCTCTTTGAGAAACAATTTATTTCGCGACTGCACCGTTCACACGCGTGGCTATTTCTCAGCAGACTTGTTATTGTCTCGTTTCACGCAGGGATTGTAACATTTTTGACAGTGACGCTCTTAAGGATCAGTTCTATTCACATCCAGCAGTTCCAGCACGGCCACGCACTATCTTATACAAGGTTTCAGCGCTCGAATAACGGAGATGGACATCTCTCGCACGATGCCTGTCCGCCTCCATGTCCAAACGCTACAGTTCTAATTTTCCTATTTATTTTCACGAGACCTAGTTTTGCTCAGAATGCCGTCACTTGGTGAACCCTCGAATCCAGGGAAGAGAGGGCCTGCAGGGGACGAATCTGGGACAACGCGTAGTGAATGCGGAAAGCTATCAGCAGCTGTATAGAGTGAAGTCCGACGAAGCAGATGTTGGAGTGGAGACCTGTGGCAGACACTCAGAGGATTCAGAGTTGTTGATATCTACGTACCAGATCCATATTGTGATGCGTAGGCATAACTTATGTTCAAGAAGTCGTTATGACCTCGATCAAATGTAAATTCGTATTCATAGCCGTTTGTGTGATAGCTCATGCTGGTTCACTAATCGTGTTTGTAGTTTTAAGTGTAGCCCGACATTGGCCATCCAGGTCACAAGGGCGCTCTGGCTCGTCAAATGTATTGAAAGTAATTGTTATGGTCAGCTTCGACCGCAGTGCGACACGACAGTAAACGATAAACCTTTACCTACGATTATTTGGTTGCGTGTAAACAAAACGGAAGTTTCGTCGTAGAGTATCGGAGATGAAAGTGGTTTTGGTTGTTTTTTAATTGATAACCTCTTTACACTTAGCTGTTTATGTTAGCTTCTGATAGTACGATAGTTTTTTGAATACACAGTGAGTTGTGTATTGGCCTCTTTATTTCTATTTTTTTTCGATCTCACTTTGTAATGCAGATTTTTAGGTTTTAAATCCGGGTTCGGGTGTTAGCTTGGTTCTAGCATGATATGTGCTGAAAAGGTAAAGCTTGCTTTTTTGGAGGTTTCCTATGATTTCTATGTCACGTTCTACAATCTATGTCATAATCGAGGATATGCTTCAGGCACCTTCTCCCACCCATGAATACACAAACGAACAGGGAAAAACGGAAGCTTACAATGACTTCTAGCAACACCATGGATAAGCGGTGTTTAGTGAGAGACTTCGCGTGCATTCTATGTCAGCGGATTTGTAACATTCCCGTTGCGACCACGGTTTGTATCATGTTGTAATCGATTTGATTTTTCGTTTCTTTAGTGTTGTATCGTTTTTTTTTCGAAGTACACTTTTGTGTTTTTCAAGCTTTTCTATTTTATTTTCAGGTATGTATGCATAGGTTTTGTGAGAGTTGCATGAGTCCACGAATAGCGGCTGGCAATCTGAGATGTCCCCGGTGCAACATGCAGCTCGATCAAAATCAGCCTGTTTGTCATGATTCCAATTTTCAGGATATTATTACAAAAGTGAGTCCTTGAATTTGGATTGGGTTGGTTAGTTTTTGGTCATGCGTCTTATTATTCGAAGATGACATGTTGCCCTGTCAACCATCCTGTCGAGAATTAGAGATTAGACTGATAATTCCTTTCTCAATGCTTCCTCTTTCTCCCAATCTTGAGAACACCCCTTATGTAGAAAATGCGAAGGAAGCATTTCCGTGAACGCTCAACTTCTCTGTGTTTAGATAGATTTTGACTTGAACACCGTTCATGATTTGATAACAACGAAAACCTCATTCCGCTTGTGAGTTTTCGAGTATTAGTGAGTTGTTTTTTATTATTAGATCTTTAGCTACTTTTGTGTATATATTCTGCGTAAAACTGCATATTTCTAATATTTAGCTAGTGATGAAGAATATATGGATATGTGCGGTGTATC